GGCTGCTGTGGGGTCTCATCCACCTCCTGCAGCTGGGGCGGGTCTGGAGGTACAGGGGGGCCACGAGGGACACAGAGACAGGATAGGGATGGGGAGGATGAGGAGCCAGGACGGGGCTCAGGGGGCTGCTGCGGGGCCTCATCCACCTCCTGCAGCTGGGGTGGGTCTGGAGGTATGGGGGGACCAGGTGTACGGGGGGGGTCAGGGAGGGTCAGGGGGCCAGGATGGGGTTGCTGCAGGGCCTCATCCATCTCCTGCAGCTGGGGCAGGTCTGGAGGCATGGGGGTCATGGAGCCAGGCTGGGGCTGGAGGGAGTGGCAGGGTACAGCAGGGACCTGGGGGGGATAACAGGGTGCAGCACGGAGGACACAGGTGGGGATGGCAGGGGATGGGGGGGATTGGGGGGGGATGGCAAGGTGCAGCAGGGGCCCAGGAAGGTGGGGGGGGCACGGGGATCAATCTCTCTGCAGCCACAGCAGGATGGGTGGTGGGGGAGATCCCCCAGCAGAGCCCAGCTGTGGGTGTAGGCAGGAGCTGTGGGTGTGGGCAGGAGCTGGCATGACTAGCCCACAGCCCAGCTGGGTGGCACAGGACTGCTGTCCCCATGACCGGGTGGTGCTGGACCTGCTGGGGGGCCTGCCTGGTCATGACAGCCAGGTGCCAGGGGGTGTGAAGTGCTTCTGCTGGGCCCCGAACACCTTGGGCTCGGATTGTCCCCGCCATGTGCCTCCCTGTGCTCCTGCTCGGAGCTTGCTGTAGTCTGCGGGGTCACAGGTGAGGAGGTGCCGTTTGTCCCCAGCTTTTTCTGGGCCTGGGCAGGCTGTGCAGGCAGGGTGAGCAACAGCTTGGCACACTGGAGCAGGCTCGAGGCCCTTTGCCTGTGTCTCTACAGACCCTCCAGAAGCCCAAGCTGATGGTTTATTGGCACCTTCCTCCCCTTCCTCCCCTTCCTCCGGCCCTGCTTCCTCCCGGCTCCACTGAGCTCCATCCTCGGGGCGCTGGGGAAGAGCCGTGGCTCTGGCACCGAGCTGCTTCCCGGGGAAGGCTGGTGCTGGGAAGGGAGTGGAGACAATGGCAAATTCCGGGAACAATGCACCGAGCAGGCAGCGCTCAGGCTCAGGTTTCGGTGCTGTTTCCCCTCCTGAGCTACTGTAGTACAGAGGCTCCTCCACTCCCTGTTGTTGTCTGCATGCATTCATTCATCTGCTGCTTTTCCTGGGATGCTCCTGGGACGTCTAACTTTGTTTCACAGTACAGCGTGCACCGTGCTAGAGGGGCTCCTGCCCTTCCCTCACCAACCCAGCCACCGCCTGCCCCTCCCCGATCCCACCCACCCCCGTGGCAGCTCTCAGGGGATGCTGGCTGCAGGATGGGTGCAAGCCCTGCCTTAGTGTGCTGGAGGAGCTGGTGAGGGAGAGGATGGGAGCTCTTCGGCCCACTGGCTGCTGAGCCTGCCTGCAGCCGGCCTTGGCCCCGGCACCCTGCAGGCAATTACCTGATCCTGGCCTGAGCTGGGGCCAGGCTGCGGTCGGGGGCTTTGCTGCCAGTGGTGTCAGCCACGCTCTCCTGATCTGCTGCACCGCGGAGGCTCTTAAGCCAATTAAAGCGGTAACTCTCAGCACTGACCCTCCAGGACATGTTGGTCTCAAGCTGCAGCTGAGGCTCTTTCTAATCTCGGGGTTTGGGATTAGCTTGGATGACCAGTTAAATGCAGTTTGTTAAACCCATTAGTGAGGTTGGATCCGGTGCAGGTGGATGTGGCAGTTAAAGAAGTGTTAAATAAATGCTACGTGTGAAGGGAAAGCTTTTCCCTGGCCAGGGTACCATGCCCCTTGCCAAACATCTTCCCCTTCCCTGATTTACCTGCCTCCTCCCTGCCTTGCGATTGCCTCACCCCTACCAAATCCATCGCTGTGCAGCCCCGAGCCCCAGCTGTGACAAAGACCCCAAATCACAAAAATACAGCTGCTTCCCAGCTGCAAAGGCAGCTCTGAGCATAAACCCTGAGATTATCCCAAATTAAAGCTGCTGAAGTTAGTTGTCATCAGCGTGTTCATGATGCACATGCAAATACTCCACCACGGATGCTCTCCAGAGACGGTGCCGGTTGCATGACCATGTGCTCATGTAAGCAGCAGCGGCACGGGCCCATCCCCCAGGTGAGCCCATGCCACCGCTGCATTTGGGGGCTGCTGCTTGGACAGTTTTGCAGCTCAGGAATTGTTATCCACTCTGCTCGCAAAAAGTCACCAGCTTTTTCACCAAAGAAACACCAAAGGAAGGGATGCTGTGCATGCCACGCGTGTCTCCCACCCGGCAGCGTGCCAGGGGTCCCCTGCCACCTCTGTGGGCTGGCAGTTGGCTGGTGTGTCTCTGCGGGTCCCGTTGCACTGGGGACAGCCCTGCCTGTGCCTGTTGTGCCCCTGTGTCTGCTTTAGCCCAGGGTCATGCCTGGTTTGGCTGCCTGGGGGTCACCGGGGCCAGACCTGGGGTGCCCTCTCCACCTGCAGGGCCTCCCAGAAAGCCCCCCGTCAGCCCGTGTCCCCCCATCCTCTGCTGGCTTGGGGACCTGGTGCCACCCCTTGGTCCTGATGCCAGTCCGGCGGCAGCCCCGCAGGGCACAGACACCCTCAGCAGCTCCCTGGGTGAGCTCATGAGGGGTGACAGAGCTGGGACCCATAGGTTTCCCCCCACCGGCCCTTCTGCTCCCCAGGCCTTTGCTCTGCCTGGTCAGGAGACCTCTCAGCCCTGGGAGCACCCGGCTTGTCCCACTGCAGGACCCAGCACTGGGGTCAGTCACTTGCTGGGGGTCTCTGCCTGGCCCCGGTGCGCAGGACAAGGGGCTTTTTGGGGCCAGACTGAGCTTTTCCCTGAGCATGAGTGGCCTCTGCTGCTCCTGTTTGCCCCAGGGACCCAGGGCACATTGGGGTGTAAGGACGGTGGGACACAGGGGCTTTCATCAGCGCAGTGCCATGCCAGCCAGGCCCATGTGCAGCTCTCCCTGATGACCTGACTTGGTGGGATGTGTAAGGGATTAAAATGGCTGCAACAGGGAAGCAATTTTCTCCTTGTTTAAATAAAGGATTAAGGGATGATATCCCAAATTACCTTCTAGGAAAATCGCACTCCGTATCGCTCACTCTTAGACCCGGGGGTCCCTTGTCCTTTTCTATCTGAGGACAATGATTAGTGGATTTGGTTATAACCAGGGCTGGGCTTTTCTCCTTGCACTTCTTTTGTTCCGATACTTGAAAATCAGGGTCAGTAGCTGGGAGCTGGGGGCAAACAGTGGTGCTGGCAGCAAACCCGGCCATGGTGAGGCTCCGGCAAACCCATCCGTGGCGGGGCTCTGGCAAACCCATCCGTGGCGGGGCTTTGGCAAACCCAGCACCCGCCTCAGCCCACCACCTTTCTGCTGCAGGGGTTTCGTTAGATTACTCTTTGTAATACAAAGGAGGGAGCAATTAGCCCTGAGAGCTCTCGCGGTCGGTTTCTGCCTCATCATCAGTTTTTTGAAAATTAAATTATTTTTTTTCAAGTGATTGATTCTGTATTTCCCATGCAGCTGCTGCGGTGCTGGGTTGGTAAGCGCCCGCCGTGCACTGTCAGCGCGGGGATGTTTCTCTGGGCTGAAACACCACGGGATGATCAAATGCATAACAAATAAGAATCAACATTTCATTCTGGCAAGTTGATGGGAGATGAAATCTTGTTTTAATGAGATCTATGGAGCTGATGGGAAGACGGGAGAGTAATTGTGCCCCCGCCGAAAGCTGGGGGAGGCCGCGGGTCACTAGTTGAATGGCTGAGGAGCCGGGGACGGCACGTGGTGGCTGCCGGCTGTGCCACAGGGACGGCACGGCTCTGCGGTCTGTGTGGGGGGGCTGCCGTGCGCCACAGAAGGTGGGATCATGGCACTGACGAGCCCAATTAGCGAGGCTGATTACAGGGAGAGGATGAGGTTGCCGGTGTCCGGATCTCCCATGGGTGCCCTGGGACCAGCAGCGGTGGCCTGCGGCATCCTGTGCTCTGCATCGCTTCTCCGGTTGCTTCCCCCCCATGCCGTGTCCTCTGTCCCCAGGCCTTCCCTTGGTTTGCACCTTGCCAGTGAGGGGGGGTCCGCCCTTGGGCCCTTCTGCGGGGCCAGAAGAGGTGGCTCGTGGGGAGAGGGGCTGGGGGGGCAGCGGCCACGGTGCTGCCGTGATGGCAGTGCTGGCCTGGCTGGGCACGAGCAGGTGGCACTGGGTTGCAAATCTGTGCCGGGAGCCGAGCGGCTGCAGCCTCTCCCCCCGAGCAGCGAGGGACGGGCCTCAGGAAAGGCTAAAATTAGCTTCTCCCCCCGAGGTGGATATTAAAACGTCATTTTGACACCAGCGCAAAGAAGCCGGTGGGGACCGGGCGCTGGGCTAGCTGTGGGGCCACGGGATGGCCCCCGCAGCCATTGGCACCCGCTGAAACCGGGGCGGGACTACCAAAATTGCGTTATATGCTGACAGCGATGTCTTGCCTGGCCACCTTGTGGCAGGGGGGCTTTTTGGGGCTCCCAGCAGGGCGGTGGGAGGGGATGGGGCAGGCGGTGACAGGTCCTCGCTGGGGAGGACCACGGGAGCCCCATGGGACCGGCATGCCCACCCTGCCCTCCTGCATGCTGAGGGAGCCAGTGGGGCTGCCCGGGGTGGGAGCAAATGGCAGCAGGGTGGCACGGGGGCCTCGGTGGCCCCAGCTGATGGCCCCCACCGTGGTCTCAGGGCTGTGCAGCCCAGGGGCAGGAGCACCCAGCCATCCCCATGGCGGGAGCAGGGCCAGCTCTTGCTTCCTCCTGCTGACGGATGAGCCGAAAGTGCTGGGATCAGGGTTTCTCCTGCATGTCAGGCTAATGGAATCGGCTGGCAGCGCTTTCTGGAGCTGATGGAGAGGCCATCGCTCTGCGTGAGGGTTTTACTCGCCTGGGAGGAAGCTTTATGGTCCGACATCCTCCCGCTTCGTCTTTCTGTCTTCCTCCTCATCCGGCTCCCTCCTCCCCCCGAGGCAGCGGAGACACCGGCCCATGGTGCAAGCAGGGCTGCCCGGGGATGCCCTGTCTGTCCGGCCCCGTGTCCCCTCCTGTGGTGCCCAGATCTGGCCCCGTGCCGCAGGGAGGGGTCCCTGGTGGCGGTGACTCAGCCAGCGCGTGCGTCGGTGCCACGCACACCTCCGCTGACCCCCGGCCGACGACCAGATGGCCGGGGCCGGCGTGCGCCCGCGCCCATAGCCCTGCCAAAAGCCGAGGCAATGCCGGCACAAGCGCCCGGGAGCTTCCCGCGGGCAGCGCGGCACGACCAGCTGGTGCCTCCGTCCTGGCTTGGGGCAGGAGGAGGCAGGGTGGGCTCCGCGCCAGCCAGGACCAAAATATCCCCTTTGAGAAGCAGCCGGACGTGGTTCTGGGCTGGGGCCAGGGCACCCCAAATTCATGGGTGGCCAGAGAGCGGGGCTGAGGGGGGGGATCCCCAGCTGGGGTGGGGAGGCAGACCCTGCGTGGGGGAGAGGGCACAAGGGCAGCACCAGGGTGGGCAGTGGGGTGATGGCTAGGTGAGCCCCAGGGCAGAAGGATGCTGAACTGGCTTTGCACAAGCTGCCTCTTCCCGGCATCTCAGGGGTCCAGGGTGGGACAGGGGTAAGCTCAGCATCACCACTGCCCTGCAGCCCCCTGCACCCCCAGCGTGGGGGGCCTTCCGTGGCCCCAAATCAGGGGGGGAAGTGCTCGCTGGAGCAGGTTGGCAGCGGTCATGGGGCACGCCTCACATGGGCAAGAGGAGGTGAGCTCGGCTGCCCGAGTGGTGGGGGCTTGTCTCACCCTCCCACCCTGCCTCGCGCAGGTACCTCCGCACGCTGTACCTGGGGCTGCAGAGCCGGTGGCAGGTTGAGCACCGCCGCCGCCACTTCTACTGGCGGATGATGTTCGAGAGCGCGGACATCAGCATGCTACGGCTGCTGGAAACCTTCCTGAAGAGCGCGCCCCAGCTCGTGCTGCAGCTCAGCATCATGGTACAGCAGAACACCATCGAGCCGCTGCAGGGTAAGGGACGCGGACCCCGTGGCGGGGGACAGGGGCGGCTGGAAGGGGCGACGCGGGGTTGCCGCAAGCTCTCACTGCTCCTCCCCGCTTTGTGCCCACAGGGCTCTCAGCCTCGGCCTCGCTGGTCTCCCTGGCGTGGATGATCGCCTCCTACCAGAAGGTGCTGCGGGACTCGCGGGAGGACAAGATGCCCATGTCCTACAAGGGGGCCGTGGTACAGATCCTGTGGCACCTCTTCACCATCGCCGCCCGCGCCATCGCCTTCGCCCTCTTCGCCTCCGTGTTCCAGCTCTACTTCGGCATCTTCATCGTCACCCACTGGTGCATCATGACCTTCTGGATCATCCAGGGTGAGACGGACTTCTGCATGTCCAAGTGGGAGGAGATCATCTACAACATGGTGGTGGGCATCATCTACATCTTCTGCTGGTTCAACGTCAAGGAGGGACGGAGCCGCTACCGCATGTGCATCTACTATGTCATCACGCTGTCGGAGAACGCCGCCCTCACCATCCTCTGGTTCCTCTACTACGACCGCAAGACCACCTCCGACTTCGACGCCTTAATCCTTGTCTGTGTGGTCAGCTCCAGCTTCGCCCTTGGCATCTTCTTCATGTTCATCTACTACTGCCTCTTGCACCCAAACGGCCCCATGTTCAGCCCCCGTGTTGGCGGTTGCATTTTCCGGCAGCGGCCGGCCCCAGCGCCGGGGTCCCCCGCAGACGCCGTCACCAGCCCCCCCCGCTCGCTGCCGCGGACTACAGCGGGGGAGCGGGACGGGGCGCCGGGGGAGCGGGACAGCTGCGTGCCCGTCTTCCAGGTGAGACCCTCTGCCCCACCGGCGCCGGCCGCCCGCGCCCCGCGGACAGAGGGGCCCGTCATCCGCATTGACCTGCCCAGGAAGAAGTACCCGGCCTGGGACGCCCACTTCATCGACCGGCGCCTGCGGAAGACCATCCTGGCGCTGGAGTATGCGTCGCCCACCACCCCGCGCCTGCAGTACCGCACGCCCGGTGCCCCCCAGGAGGTGCTGGAGTACGAGACCACCGTGTAGGGTGGGAGGTGCGGGGCCGCGGCGGAGCCCTCCCGGTGCCATCCCGGCCGTCCCACATCTTCGCAGCCATTTGCCTTTCGGTTGGGTTTGCCGGCGCTGCCGTGCTGCTGCAGCGAGCGCCCCGCGGGCGGGGGCCAGGGAGGTCTTTTGGTGCTATCCCCCCCCGCGCCACCCTCCCGCAGCCAAGACCTGTGTCCCACCCCACGGCAGCCGCCCCGGCTCCCCCCGGGGCTCGTCCTTGCCAAAATACCTCACCGGTGCCTGAGCCCAAGGCGGTGGGTGCTGCGGCCCCACAGTGCTCGACCATGTCAGTGGTGCAGGATGGGGACTAGGGACACCATGGGCTGGGGGCCGGCAGCCACGAGGGGCTTGGGGCACGGTGGGGCACGGCGTGGCCCAGGTGGGTGGCACACGGGGACATGGGTGCCTGTGCCGTGGCAGCACCGTGGGGCTGGAGAGCGGCTGCACCGTGGTGCATGGGGCTCATCACCCCCAGAAAGCTGGGGCAGGGGACAGCCAGGACCCGGCCATCCCCCCCATGTCTCCTACTCCCCCCACTCCCTGCAGTGCCAGCCCCAGGGGGGCCCTTTCATCTCCATCCTTGGTCCCCCCAGCTCAGGGTCGAGCCGCGTCCTCAAGCCCACAGGGTCCCTGCTGCCCTGTGGGGCACAGACCCTGGCCCGGGGGGGCCCCTCATGGGTGGGCACGGACCCTGCTCCCCCTGGGTCTGAGCTGGGCCCCCGGCTCTGGCCAGGATGGCAGCACCCCATCATCCCCCCTGCCCCCACGGGAACTGCTTCGTCTCATTGGGTTTGTTTTCACCTGAATGGTGACATTTTGTGTGACATTTTCTACCTCCGCTGCGGCCAGGGAGGGGGGCAGGGCCTGGCTGGCACTGCTGCGGGGGGCGTGTGGGGCCGCCGGCATTCCCGGCGCTCCCTAAAGCAGGGTTTACCCCCAGCCGTTCTCCCCTCCCGGGTTTGGCATTGCTTCCCACCCGGGAGCATTTCCATTCACCCCCCTCATTGGCATCAGCCCCATCCAGCTCCCCCATATAAACCTAAGCCGGGATCCTGCCTCCCCCCTGCCTCCCCCCTGCCTGCCCAGAGGAGCAGGGCTGCCCTGGGCTCCGGGTTCGAATGTGTCCCTGGTCCTGCCCAGATCCGTTGGCTTGCCCCTGCCCGAAGGACTGTGCTGAATGTACCCTGTGCCCCCCCCGGGGCCAGGTGTGCGCCAAGGGGGGGGGGTATGTATGCGTGTGTGCGTGTGTTCACATGTGCGTGCGTGTGTGTGCAGGGGGCTGGCAGGGGTTTGCAGGGCAGGGGAGCTGCCGGACCACACGGCCCCATGCCCCCTGCCCCTGGGCCTTCCCCGTACCCGCTGTGCCCCCCTCAACGGCCCCGCAGGGTCCCGGCCTCCAGCTGCCCTGTGCCACGGTGCCAAGCCCTGCCCTGAGCCGGGGAGCGTGGGCAACCCCGCCGGCCCCACTGTGCCATGAGGCACCGCACGAGGCACCGTGCCGGCCGTGGGAAGGGCTCCTACTGGGAAGCTGTCCCTGGGAATGGCTCTGGCTGCTGCCCACCGTGCCGGGACATGGGGTCCCCAAGGGCTGGCGTGGGCGCCCAGTCCTGTGGCGTGGCTGGGGCGGGTGGGTGCATGGTGTGGGTGGCATCACGTTGCTTTTTTTCCCATTTCTCTGTAGCTGGAAGGCCGGGGTGACAGCGGGCTGGGGCGGGCTGTCGCTGGGGTCACTGGTGCTAACTGGTGCTAACTGGAAGCCTTGGAAACCCTTTTGGAGGAGGGTGCAGAGCATGGCTGGGGCTGGGCAGCGGGCTGAGCCCCCCGTGACCCACACCTCTCCTTCGCCACAGGTAATGGGCAGACCCCGGCGGTGGGTGCTGACCGCAGTGCCGGGTGCGGGGTGGCTCTGCGGGGGGGTCTCTTATCCTCAGGGAAGGTCGGGGGCAGCGGCTGGGGGAGCCGGGCTGGGGCCGGGGCTCCCCTGCAGCAGTCAAGCGACATTGCCGCAGCCCTCGCCCCATGCCCAGGCAGCGGCTCCTCACTGGGTCCCACTCGTGAAGCCGGGAAGCCACCGGGGATGGGGACAGGCCACATGGGGACAGGGTGCCAGCACGGAGCGGCTCCTCTGGGCTCCCCCCCTGCCCCAGCCCCTCTCCCCGTCCCCCCGAGAGCAGAGAGGAGCCGCTGTTTGGGGTGATCTGCACCCCTCCGTGCCCTTCACCCCCAGGGTTTGCATGGGGACCCCGGGGCTGCGCCGGCGGGACAGAGGGACACTTTTCTATGCACTCAAGCCACGGTACCCTCAGCCCTGGGCTGCCCTGGGCAGGGATCTCAGCAGCAGCAGGCAGCACCGAGCCCCTGCCCGTGTGGTGCTGCCATGCTCGGCGTGGGGACCCCGTGCGTGGGGCTCGGGGGGCAGCCATGGGTCCCACTCCCAGCCCCAGGGCTCGGCCGCCCCCAGGAAGCCAAACCCAGCACCCCGGTGCCAGCGGCAGCACCGACATGGCAGCACCTGCCCAGCAGGGCCACGGTGAAGGGGTGAGACCTGGGGCCAAGCCGGGCACTACGGGACAGGGGGCAGCTCCGGAGGTGCTCAAGATCCCACTGGGGACGGGGATCCTGGTCCCTGGGGGTGTCACCCCCAGGGATGGGCAGCGGGGCCACCCTGGCTTCAGGGAGCGGGGAGAGGTTTGGGCCGGGGCCCGACCCCGTTTACCCTCGGCCGGGGCCGTTCGTTCCCAGCGGGGGCTGCCGGGGGGGTCTTGGCTATGACCCTGGCCCCCCCGCCCCAGTGCCGGGACTTGGCGGCCGCTGTCACGTACTGTAAATACTCTGTGTGCCACCTTCTTCTCTGGGACCCTCGGCGCGGGCAGGGTGGGGGGCGAGCGGGAGGCCGGGGTCCGTACCGAGACTTTTTTGTATACCACAAACTTTTTGTATATTTTTAATTTTGCTGCAACATGAGATATTAAATTCATTTCAATAAGCCCTGCCTGTGGCAACCTGTCCTTGCTGGCACCTCCGGCTCATGCTCCAGGCTCCGCAGCAGGGCAGGATGCTGCCCCTCTGTCCCGGGGTGCTTGGGGATGCTGCGGGATGGAGCAGGATGGCTGCGGCGGTGCTGCCTGTCCAGTGTCAGTGGCCCTGGCCGGTTCTGGCCCCGGCGTGGCGGCCGGCAGGGAAGGGGTGCGCAGGCAGGATGCAGCGTGCCAGGGAGGAAGCCGCCGGACATGGCCGCTGCCGGCCAACCTCCTCCCTGCCAGAGGCCCCAATCGCCGGCTGACCCCCAGACCCATGGCGGGGGGCTCAGGACCCATGGGCGGCCATGGGGATGGGGTGCTGGATGCAGCTGCACGGGCCCCTGCCAGTGCTGTTGGCCATGCCAGGGCCCGTGTTGGCAGGGCAGGACGGGGGCAGCGAGGGCCAGGAGCCCCCAGCGCTGCCCCACGAGGACGGGCCTGATGTGGGGCCACAGGGCAGCGGAATCAGCCCCAGGGCCACGGGGGAGCCCTGCGGCAGTGAGGGACAGGGGCTGCTCTGCCATGGGGTCCCACGGGCACCCCCAGTCCCAGTGCCTGCTCTGATTCCATCCCAGTCTACTTCAGCCCCTGCCTCTGCCCAAATCCCAGCCCACCCCTCGCCCAAGTGCCACCACCAGCCGCAGTCCCAGCCCCGGTCTCAGCCCCTGTCCCAGTCCCAGTCCCAATCCCAGTCCCAGCCCAGCCCAGCCCAGTCCCAGCACCCCCCAGGAGGGGCAGGAACTCACATCCCAGCCGTCCTGGTGGAGTTTCCGACACAGGAAAACGCAGCGGCGCCGAGCGGGGCGGTGGGGGTGGCCGTGCCGGGAGGCAGCGCCGCGGCCCTGCCATGGACTGCGAGGCCAAGAAGGGGAAGAAGGTGCGTGGGGCTGGGGCTGGTGTCCCGGGGGGCTGGCGGGAGGGTGGGAGTGGGCGAGACATGTGGGGACACCAGGATGAGGGGCCCCGCACCCTCTCCGGTGGCACGGCGGGGAGAGGTGGGATCCCCACTCGCTGCTCCCTGAACCACCCAAATGGTCCAAATTTGGGGTCAGCTAGCAGAGAGGTGCCCAGCCTCTCCTTGGGCGCTGGGTGCCCACGGACCCTGTGCGTGGGTGCCGGGGTTGGGTGCCTGGCGCTGAGGTGTCCCCGTGCCCATTCTCCCTGCCAGGGCTTTGTGTCGCCCATCAAGCGGCTGGTTTTCCCCAAGGCGGCTCGGAGGCCGGCACTCCGCAGCAGCGTCTACCGGCGGCCGCTGCACTCGGTGCCCCTCTACCCCCCCGACTACTTGATCGACCCCCAGATCCTGTTGCATGACTACGTGGAGAAGGAGGTGAAGGTAAGGGGGTGGAGGGTTCCCAGGGATGCCTGGGGTCCTTGCCTGCTTGGGGGGGCTGAGAGACACCACCCACAATGGCCAGGAGGGTCCTGGTCCCCTCCCTGCCCAGGCAAACACCCCGGGAGGGGGAGGGTGGGCTGGGGGTGCAGGGAGGACCCCCCCGTTGCAGGGTCTCCCTGCACCCCAGAGAAATGCATCCTGCCCATGGGGACATGGGTGCGCCGGGGGAGGCTCTGGGTCCTGGGGTGGGGAGGACGCACGCCCCCAGCTCCCCCAAGCTGCCCTGGGTTTTGTCCCCCCTCAGTTTTTAGGCCACCTGACATGGGTGACAGCCTCCCTGAACCCCTCCAGCCGGGATGAGGTGCTGCAGCTGCTGGACACGGCCAGAGTAAGAGGGGTCCCCACTGCCCAGGGTGCCCCCCCAGTGCTGCCCAGAGGGTGTGCACCGGGTGCCCCACGTCCCTGGCACACGCTCTGCCCCCGCAGCAGCTGAAGGAGCTGCCACTGCAGACGACGCCGGAGCAGGACAGCATCCTCAGCCTCTCGGCACGCTGCCTCCTGCTCACCTGGCGCGACAATGAGGAGCTGATCCTGCGCATCCCCACCCACGAGATCGCCGCGGCGTCCTACCTGCGCGATGATGCCCTGCACCTCCTCATCCTCAAAACCGGTGCGGGCGTCCGGCTGGGGCTGGCGGCCACGGCACAGCCCACCCTGAGCACCCGCTGTCCCCAGGGCATGGAGGGCCAGAGCCTGGGAGGCTGATGGAGCGGTGTTGGGTCCGGCTGAGGCGGCAGCAGAGGCCAAGCACAAAAGCCCGTGTTGCCCCCCCAGCTTGGCGGGGGTCTGCTTCCCCGGGGCTGGAGGGGAGCACTGCCTCCGGCTCCCCTTGCCCTGGCAGGCGGGTCCCAGCTGCGGTCCCAGTCCCGGTTGCCTTTAATGGCAGGCGGAGAGGAGACTGGAAGCAACTCCTGTTCCCATCCCCTGCAGCACACGGAGCCCCAGAGGGCTCAGCAAACCCGGGCTCAGCTGCCAGCCACAGGCAGGGTGCCCAGGGAGGGGGCTGCGCCAGGCTGAGCTCCAGCCTGCACACGGAGCACTCCCACCCCGCTGCCCCTAATCCCCCTGCCCCAGCCCCACCGCCCCCAACCCACTGGGGCTCCCCCATCTGCATCCCAGCACCCCCATCCCTCCGCATCCCGCCTGGCCGGTGGGACAGGGCAGCCAGGGCAGGGGCTGGGGGCCAGGCAGGGTGGGCAGCGCAGCCCCCCGCCCTGACGCCCAGTCTCTCCTCACTACCCCAGGCCTGGGAGTGGACCCGGTCCCCGCCGGAGCGCACCCCGAGGTGGCTCCGGCCGGTGTACCGGAGGCATTTCCCGCTGAGAAGCGGCCGGGGGGCTCGTGGCCGGAGGGGGGACGGCTGGGGGGTCCGATGGAGCGCCGGCACACCATCTGCAGCCTGGACTGGCGAGCGGCGCGGGGCGGGCAGGAAGGCCGGCAGGGCGGCAGCCTGGAGCGGCGGCGGGGCGGCA